TATGCAATTTATTTATACCTCTACTACAAGGCATCTACATTGATCCTAAATATCAACTATTGCTAGATCATGAGTGACCAGACATGTTTAAAGTATTGCTGCATTGATGGCTTTGCAATTTGATAGCATTATTGAGAGTTAGTGGGAACTAGTAGGTAGACCATAGGTGAAGGAAGTAGATCATTGGGTTAATGCCTTTGGAAAGGAATATTATAACTAATTGCTTGCTGTCTCTGTTTGCTTCCTAGCTACTATTAGATGAGCAGCCTCCTCTCCTCCTGTTACCATAGTATTCTGCCTCATGAAAGGTCCACTGCAATGGACTCCATGAACATCTGGTTGAAAATACTGAAACCATGGGTTAAAATAAAACCTTCCTATTTTACATCATTTTCAGGTATTTTATCACAGATCTGTGCAGTCAATAGACACATGCACACACATACATGGAGAGAGAGACTCTTTATTTCCTCTCTTATTTACTTATTATGCTATGTATGATATACTGAGTTTATTTCATAGTGTTTAGATATTGTTAGTGTTATATCATAGAAATAAATTTACTACATATCATGGCAAACAATAAATACCTTTCACTGTCTTTGCTACTTCTGGGCATGGAGTTAATCATTTTCAGTTGTATTCAGTATATTGTATTATGCTAGCTCAAATTATTACTTTGCTATGCTTTCCTGTGGTTACTAAGGAGAGGTGTATGAGTTACAAGTTGATAAGGGGTGGACCTGGGATACAAAATTTTATGTGTCAACATGAGTAAGCCATGATCTACCCAAATATCTTATTAAATACCATATCAAAGTATGTATGCATGAGATGGGTGAAGGTGTTTTTTTTAGAATGATTAGTATTTGAAGTTGTGGGCTAAATAATCTTCTTGCCTTTCCCTAATGTAAGTTGGAATCATCCTGTACATTGACATTCTTTTTAAAAGATTTTACTTATTTTTATTTTATGTGTTTGAGTGTTTTGCCTGCATGTCTGTGTCTGTTGCCCATGGGGGGCAGAGGAGGTGTTGGATCCCCTGGAACTGGATTTAAGGACAGGTGTTAGCTGCCGTGTGGGTGTTAGGAATGGACCTTGGATCCTCCAGAAGAGCAGTAAGTGCTCTGAGACACCGTGCCATCTTTCCAGCCCCTCATTAACATTCATAATAAAGAAAGATGAGAAAGACAAAGTTCATTCCCTGCTTGACTGCTTAAACTATGAATATTTTTCTGACTTTAGCTTTTCTGGTTCTCAGTCTTTAGATTAAGAATGACATATGGTGCCATGAGCTATTGGATCTGTCCTACTTACTTTCTATTGCTGTGATAAAACCAGCTTTGGGAGGAGAGGACTTATTTCCTCCTCCACCTCCCAGGTGTCAGTCTATCAGTGAGGGAACTTAGGGCAGGAACTCAGAGCAGGAGCCTGGAGGCAGGAGCTGAAGCACAGACCATGGGGGAATGAATGTTACTTACAGGCTTGCTCTTCTGGCCTGTTATGCAACACAAGAACACCTACCCAGGGGTGACACCACCCACAGTAGGATGTGTACTCCCACATCACTCAACAATCAAAAGTCCCACCAACATGGCAACAGGGCAATCCAATGGAGGAAATTCTTCCACTGAGGCTCCCTCTACTCAGGTCAAGGTGATAACTGAAGCTGTCTAACACAGACCCTCAGAGCTTTTAGCTAAACTGATGTTTCTAGGATCTCTGAGGTGAACATGGAAGATACAAGACTTGTTGTTTTCCGCAGTGTGTAAGTGGATGTAATTATCATAGATGAATTGATTGGTAGATATAGATATAGATATAACTACAGATAAAAACAGATATGGAGAAAGATAAGATTCTGTATCATTTTCTTATGTGAGTGGATATGTTTTAATTATCTATTTCTATATAGATAAATTGATAGGTAGATATAGATATTGGTAAAAGTATAGATAAAAATAGATATGGAGAGAGATATAGATTTTTTGTACCATTTTCCTGGGAACTATGAGCAATACAGACATCGTATATTTAGTAAAATTCTTTCATATGCTTGGTAAGTGGAGCCAGGAACTTGGTCATATGAGCTGACATCAAAGGTAACAGAATGCACAAGACCTATGCAAACTCAATCAGACAAAAACAAGCACAGAGCGGTGGAAATGGGCAGGAGGCCCCAACCATAGCTGAGGATCTGTTTGCAGTTGTTCACTGATAGATAAGGGAGAGTTGATCTTCTCGAAGGAAAAGACACTAACTATGTTAACCAGGCTCCAGTGGATAAACTCACAGTAAGGGACAACATCTGGGTACACAAACTTGAATTGACAGGCATTAACATATATCACAGAATGCATGAAATCCCTATGGGGGGGTACAGATAGGGGAAGTCTAAGTATGATTAAAATGTATTGCATGAAATTCACAAAAATTCAATAAAAATATACAATAAAAATAAAATATGCATTAATGTATTTATATATTTCAATACTTAAAGTATATTTCACAAATATTTATTTAGGGTCTCATGTGTCTAGGTCACTGCTATAGACAACAAAAGACAGTTAAGTGGATTTCAAGTTATAATCTATAAGGTCCTGCAGCCCCAAACTAATTATTTCACAAGGTCAAATGTGAGATAAGAATAAATAAGTGATTAAATGCTTCAAACGAGTGAGATTTCCCATCTTATAATGTGGAAGCCTTATATGAAAACAGTCATATGGTCATAGTTTAGTTAGACCTTGAAGAAAATATACTATTTCAATTGTAAATTAAGTTTGGACAACAGAGGGGAGGAAGGGTACAGGAGGGATCCTCTGTGGAGAGGACTTGTGAGTGAAAGCACTTAAGTGAGCCTGTAAGGCCAGTCTGGAACCTCCCAGTAGTGCATTTGATATAACAAGATCTCCATGCAGAGAACTGTGAAGGAAGAGGTTTAAAAGTTATTCATTAAGAAAGGACCTCAAATCATGCCAGACTGAGAAATTTTTGATGAAGAAAAAATACACACGTGTCCATATTCATCATGTAGTGTATATGTACATGTATGTAAATGTATAGAACTGGATATTCATAATATATGTGCATATAATCCTGTAATCATGAAAATCACCTAAGAGTTTTGAAGAAGTGTTTAATTCAATGTTTTAATTATGAATAACTACTTAGAAGCATCATTCGTGAAGGGTGGGAGTAGGTGCAGGCTGGTGGATAGAAATAAAAGTTCTAAAAGCCCAGAGCTGAGCAGGTTTCAGGGAACATGCCTCTGCTGTATCAGATGAAGTTATGTATGGAATCAGTGATGGCACAAGAAAGGCAGGGGAAACAAGGGCAGGCAACTCATTAGGTGTGGGGGCCTAAGGCCAGGGGCGAGGCAGGATGGCACCTAGAGGGAACCTCTGGGGCGTGATCAGACTTGTTTGGTGCCTAGAGGAAACCGGGAGAACATGGCCAGACTTGTTTTGAAGAATCGCTAATTGGCTCCTGTCATTTTGGTGCATCTTGGTGGCACGTGATCACCTCGCGAAAGCTATGCTGTGCTATGGAGAGGAGACTGCATGCTCAAGTTCACCTTTAATATGATTGGACACTTGATTGGGGAGGGGATTTTCCTTTGTGGTTTTTGCCTTCATAAGCTCTGTAAACACCTGCAATAAACGAGTTCCTGCTTGACTAGACCCTGCAGCATCTGACTGTCTTTCGGATAAAGGGCTGAGGAACCGGGTGGGCAGCACACCTACCTATCCCCGGCTCCTGTGTTGGGGTGTCCGATTGTCTCCCTGGGAGGCTGAGGGTAACGGGCAGACAGCTCATGTCCCTTTCCCCAGCTCTTGTGTCAGGGCAGGATCCCCGACAATTAGGCATAAATAATTGTGGAGAAAACCCAACAGACAAATTTATATATACTTTTCAACTAAATATTTCAGTAATTACCTGTCACTAATGTCTAACTCAATAGCTTCATTTTACTTAAATTCAAGATAATTGGGACTCTTTTCTCCTTACTCCACACTCTTTTCTGAACATTCCCCTCAAGCTACCTGTTCAATCTACCGTTATCTTTTTAAATTACTTGATATTTTGAATCTGTCATAACATACAGAATCAGCACTGGAAAAGGCCTTAGAAGTCATGTTAGACTATGAGCAGTAACTGGGCTTTTCTCCTGCATGAAAGCACACTGAGCTCACAGTGTCCCTTAGAACATGGCTATGCTTTCACTGTGAGAATTATATATTATTGTGCTCCCATTTATATTTATTTCTCTATGTAATGTGTAGGGTGAGTTGCTACAAGAACAAGTGAAATCAGGGCCTGGAGAAATGGCTCAGCAGTTAGGAGCACTGGTTACTCTTGATTCCCAGCACCCACATGGCAGCTAACATCTGTCCAAAACTCTAGTTCAGGGGATCTGATACTCTATTCTGTCCTCTATTTCATAAGTGCACATAGGTATACTTAGATACATGCAGGCACAATACTCATACACATAAAGTTAAAATAAATATTTTTTAATTCTAAAAAAAAGAAGATGTGAAATCAATCATTTCCCAATATAATAGAATGAAAGAAAATTTGATGACTAGCCATATACTAAAGATTTATTTCTGTTCACTGAAATAAAAACCTTACTCCTATATAAAGGTAAATGTGGTATTCCCCCAAGCTACACAGAAATGTTTGTATCAAGGAAATAATATTCAGGTATGCTTTATAGGAACGATCATATAATAACAGTGCACTAATATAGACAACTGAAAACCACTGAAACATGGATGGTGGATTCATTTGTTCTCTTCTGTAATTACTTTCATATGCTGTAAAATTTTTTAATACTCATATGCTCTTGAAATACATATGCAAATTTTAAGGCACTTCTATCAACTTATATTTTAATTAAAGTTCACATTGGTTTACAATTGTACAAAGCTTTGGGAAGTGAACAGCACACAGCCACAGTGAACCTGTAGTATTTCATGGTTATTTATCCAAACAAAGCAAATAGTAAGAAATCTAAACGATTCTTTTTAAGAATTTTGTCAATGAATCTATGACTTGCTTATTTCTCAGACTGTAAATAATTGGGTTTAACACAGGAATTATGATTGTGTAAAATAAGGAGTCTATCATGTCTCCATCATCTACTTGTTGAGTTGCAGGCCGTACATACATGAAGAGAAGAGGGCCATAGTACAAAGACACAGACAAGAGATGGGCTCCACAGGTGGAGAAGGCTTTCCTTATGCCTTTGACAGATTTCTTTTTAAAAATTGTAATGAGAACAAGTGTGTAAGAGATAAGAATAGTTGAAATAGTGAATACCTGGATTGAACCAGAGAAAATAAAAACAATTAGGTAATTAAGAGACGTGTCAGTACAGGAAATCTTTAACAATGATATAATGTCACAATAAAAGTGATGTATCATGTTGGAATTACAGAAGGTTAATCTCAATAAAAAACCTTCATGAATAAAAGCATGAAGTATTCCACCTATAAAAGACAAGACTATCAGACGTATACAAAGGCCATTGTTCATGACAACTGGGTAGAGTAAAGGATTGCATATGGCTGTATAGCGATCATAGGCCATTGCTGCCAAGAGAAAACACTCCGTGGTTGCACTGATATTAAATAGAAAAAATTGTAGCATGCATTCAGGCAGAGAAATCAGTTGACACTTAGCAAAGAAGTTCACCATCATCTTTGGAACCACTATAGATGATATGGATGTATCTACAAAAGCTAAACTTCCAAGGAATAAGTACATGGGGATGTGAAGGTGGGGATCCGTTGAGATGAGAGTCATCAGACCAACGTTTCCAATGATAGTGATGAGATAGATCACTAAGAACAACAGGAACAGAGGAATATTCCACTGTGGTTGGTGTGTGAGTCCTGTGAGAACAAACTTTGTCAGGAGTGTGACATTCTCCTTTCCCATGTTCTCACTGGATGGCCTCTGAAATGAAAAGCAATAGATGTAAAATAGTATTTACTAGGATTTATAAAATGAAAGGTGGCTACGTGGAGATGAAATAAGCAAAAACGTTATCAGATTGCCCTTCTAATTTTATTTAATATTACTATAATTAACAGAAAACTTCAGAGATTAATATAATACAATCAATTCAATTTTCAAGAGCTTCAATTGAATAGCATATAAAGAATCTTAAGCACTTGGAATATGTTAACCTTTTTTTTTTAAATCTTTATGTGCCTTTATTAACTTACAAAGGAATGAGTACCTAAACATTTTTTTGCTCAGTGAAAAGTTAACATATTTAAGAGCATTAGAAAAGTTTTTAAAATTACTTTTAAAGTAAGTATAGGGTAGTGGAGAAAATAAGTTACTTGGAGGGCAAACCAGAGTGAGCAATATTAGTCAGAAAGTCATTACTGTTGTTCAGAGGCTCCCAAACTACATCATGTATCTGAATTGCCTGGGGACCTTTTTGCAAAATCTGTGATATATTTTAATAGAAACTGATTCAGTAATTTAAAATTAATATTTATGTGTTTGCATACTAAAAATGAGTCAGTGAAGATAAATGTTTAAAAGATTCATAATGTATAGTACTTAGTGACACATGGCACCTCTGGGGGTGGTCATAGAAGAAAAACAAAATTATGTAGTGACCCTGACCCTATACATGGTCATTTAAGATAAATGTTAAAAGTTGATCCTTTGAGTGGGGTTATGTATGGCCTGTCCATTGCTGATTATACAAAGAAAACCAAATAACATATGGGAAAGTAAACAACAAACTTCTATTAAAGAAGTGATAATGGGCTGGAGAAAGGACTCAGAAGTTAAGAGATGCACTGTTCTTGCAGAGGACTCATGTTCTAATTCCAGCACCCACATGCACGCACGCACACGCACACGTGCATGCACACGCACACGTGCACACACAAAATAAAAAAAATAACTCTTTCAAAAAAAGAAGTAACAGAAGCAGATTTCATTTTGTGCTAGACACAATCCCTCCCTTTTCTATCAACTACATAGGCAGCAGGTGCTGAGCTCATTAGACAATGACTTTTGGATTAGCAGAAGGACTTTGTCTAGATTTAAATTCACACACCCTAGACTTCGGTGAGAATAGGAAAAGAGAAGAGGAGAAGACGGGAGGGAAGGGGAGGGAAAGGGAGGAGAGGAGAAGAGGAGAGGAGAGACCTGCAAGGTGAGCCATAGTATCTGATATTTGGCAGCACTTAAACCCTTCTTGAACTAATGTGTTGGCATCTGATTTTAAATACTAACTGCCTGCCTTCTTTCAGTTAGTTTCTTTTACCGTTGTTGGTGGTGGTTATTCAAATCACTTTAACGTTTCTGTTAGAACCAATTTTCTATCCAATAAAATTATTTCCTTTTGCAACCAAGAGCCCAGATGCTTCCAATGAGAAGCAAAGGAGATCAGACAAGAAACTGTTGGATACTTTGACAAGTGTCCAGAACCCCCAGGATTTAGGAGTCCACGACGGGATAATCCTAGGTTGTAAGATTAACTTCAGTAATCTTAACTGTAAGACCAACTTCAAAAGACAGAAAAAAATAGTCACATACACTGTCAGAAGTCACAATAAATACTCTGGTAGAATAAGCAAAGAAGATTCCTGAGAAGTGAAATTAAGAAACGTTTAGTGGTTTTTCTGAGGACAGTTTCCAAGATGTGACACAGGTGATACCAAAGAGTGCTAGGAACTAAAAACAGAGTCTCCACAAGTGAAGGAAAGATGCTATGGAGGAGCCAAGAATATGTGGATGGTTGCCGATAACCCACGGAACTCTCTTACCTCTAGAACATGTTTATAAAAGTTTTAAACAGAACATCAGAGAAAAGGAAGACATCAAGAGGAGAAAAAAAGACAAGAAGGATAAATTTTGTAAGAGAAAAGACAACAGAAAGGAAGAGAAACAGAATGCAACAAAACAGGAAAAGCAGGAGAGGAATGACAAGTCAGAGTGGAGAAGAGACGCCAGAGGAAGACTCGAGGGAAAGCAGCGGCAGGCGGAGGGAAGGCAGGGCAGGCAGAGGGAAAGCAGGGGCAGGCGGAGGGAAAGCAGGGGCAGGCGGAGCGAAGGCAGGGGCAGGCGGAAGGAAAGCAGGGGCAGGCGGAGGGAAAGCAGGGGCAGGCAGAGGGAAAGCAGGGGCAGGCGGAGGGAAGGCAGGGCAGGCAGAGGGAAGGCAGGGGCAGCCCGGGTTGAATGTGTGTCTGGTATTTAGCTATGACTGCCAGTCCTGCGTACTTTTTATTTTCCTCTTTGCACAAGTCAAAAGTATATTTTCCTATAGAATATGTGTTACAAAAGGATTTGCTTTTATATTTTGTTTCATGAATTTTGTGCTGGGTAAACATATATTGTCATTGCCCAAGAGTTCTTAATATGCTCAATTCTCACTTTATTTTTAGTCATGACAGCCATTAGAACAAAATAGCTCTAGGAAATTTTCTGGATTTATTTGATAGCATTTTCTTTTGCAATAGTTTTTGTTCTTTCTAGCAGAGTAAAACTGAGCCCAACATTGAATATTAATTAAAGTGATACATGGATTATCAATATTTCCAGTGATTAAACAAATTATTATATATGTTTCCTTCTACAAAATCTCAAATAAGAATACAATGGGAAATTCTCATATAAATTAGCATTTAAATAAGCATATCAATGTGTAAAGGACTGGTAATCTCTATGTATTTTCTTTGCGTGTATATGTGACATATATATATATACATATATGTATTCACATGCACATACACATATACATATAAACAAGATGACAATATAAAGGAATAATATATGTACAATATGTGTGTGTGTGTGTGTGTGTGTGAGACTGATCTTAAAGGATATTCACTTTTACTGGAATTTCTAAACAGAATTCTTATATAAGAACATTTAATATTTTAGTCCATCGTAATTTAATATCATAGTTAATTAGATAATGAAACATCATTAACCAAAACAATTCAGGCTAAACTATTTGTTTAGCTATATTTAGATTAAAAAAAAACCCCAAAATAATACAGACTATCATTTATTGCTTTTGTTTTCTTTAATAATGACCTGGAATCAATAGGCTAGATCTAAAATTATGATACATATAATACTATTTTTAACTTTTAATAGAAATGATGGTGAATATTACAGACAATTTCTTTCTTACCCATATCTTGAAAGAAATTGCAGAGGTTCTTCAAAAGTACTGGGCTATCTGAAGCAGAAAAGAGCACAGAGGTACAGGAATGCAGTAACACAGGTAGTACTTGTTGCTGTAATGACTTGTTTTGTAGGTTTCATTCCATAAACAGAAAAGTCTTGTCCTTATATAAGTCAGCTTTCATCACATGAGTCAAGCAATTGCAGCCCTGTGTGCTTTTGCCAGCAGAAGTGGTGGAGAACTTCAAGTCCCATAAGACAGCACAAGCTCTTTGAAGGACTAAATGAAGGTACTGTTCTGGGCACTGTGGACTGGACATGCGTGAGATAGTGAGATGTCCTTATGGTCCCATAGGGATGTCCACAGGCAGTACCCTTTCCTTGCTTTAACATTTGACATTACATCTGAATGCTCTCTTCACAGAGGCACTTCTGAAAGGTTTAGACAAGCTTTTTAAATTTAATTTTTAAGATTAATACATAAAGTAGCAGGCTTCATTATGCATGCTCACATGTATATGCTATTGTGATTTTATCATTCATTCTCCATCCTCACTGCCATTATTAGTGCCCTCTCTCTTTCATCTTGTTTCCTTTCTTCCTGCATTTCCTCCCATCTTCTACCTTCCTTTTCATGTATTTTATTGCCCTTTCTGTATCCCCTTCCCTTGAGCCCTCTTTCTTCTCTTTCATGACCCCATTCTAATTTCATGACCTATAAACACACATAAACATATACACACATAATATGTATAAATACACATATAACCATATAAGTACATGTGCACATATAAACATACATACATATACATATATATTTAAGTTCTGTGTATGTTAGAAAATATGCAGTATTTGTCTTTCTGATCCGGCTTATTTCCCTTGACACAATGATTTCTAGTTGCATCCATTTTCTTGTAAATATCACTATTTAATTTTTCTTTATAGTTGTGAAAAATTCCATTGTATCATATTTTATTTTATCAATTCATCTGTTGGTGGTCATCTAGGATGCTTGAATTTCCTGGCTATTGTGAAGAGTATGGTGATAAACAAAGATGCACAAGTACCTCTGTGATGTTGACCAAGAATCCTTTGGGTATACATCCAACAATGATACAACCTTATTTTCAGTGGGTTTTTTATACTTTTAATTTTTATTTTTGAAGAAATAACATATTGATTTCCATAATGGCTGTATAAGTTTGCATTCCCAACAGCAGTGACTAAAATTTCTTCTTTGGCCATCTCAGCATTGGAGGTCATTTGATTTCTTGATGATAATCATTCAGACTGGAGTGAGATGAAATAACAAAACAGTTTTATTTCACATCATCCTAGATTTGTAAACTTTGTCAATATTTATCAGCCATTTGTACTTTTTCTTTCAAGAAATATCTATCAAGCAAATTAGTCCTTTCATTGACTGGATAATTTGGAGGTTTGGATGCTTAATTTTTAAAATATTTTGTTGTGAGGATTTTGAAACTTTTATGCATGCATATAATACGTTTTAATCAAATCTACCCCCATTTCCCTCCCATTGAACTCCTCTCCTATGGCCCCTCCACTTTTCACTGAGCCTCACACTCTTTTTTAATGCACTGTCCACTTAGTGCTGCCTGTATTTGCATGGGTGTGAGACCACCCATTGGCACATGGGTAGCCTATTAGGGCCCAAATACTTGAAGAAAACTCACTCTCCCTCCCCTAATAGTCATCAATTTCCAATTAACTCTCAGGGTTGGGACTTCATGAGTCCCTCCTCATCCATGCTAGGATTTTGGCTGGCTTGATCTTACACAAATCTTGTGCCTGCAGTC